AGAAGAGTGATTCACAGATATCGAAGAAACAGACACAAAGGTAGAAAAGATGATAAAACGAGCAATATGGAAGTAATCGAATATGACATATAGTCGGATCATGGAAGCTTAAAGTCATATGTCAACTAGCGGTATATAGAATTTTTGCCCAGGGTGCACCACGTGAAAGTAAGTCCATCGCATATCTCCACCATAAATTATGGTTCTTATTAATGGTAATTATAGCTTTCACTGATCCACTGCGATCAATTAAATGGGAATTCAATTAAAAGCCTCTCAAGCAGGCTATCCACCCTTTCCTCATATCTGATCATTTTTTTTAAAAAAACGCATTGTCTACATTTTCTTCTTTGCATATTTCCTAAACATTTGGAACAACAAATTACACATTAAGTGAAAATGAATTTTAATTCCCATTTTTTGCCTTCTTGCTTCGTTCAACTTATTCCCTTTTATTAATGATTTGAATCTGGGAAAGTTGGTATATTGTTTCCCGTAAAGCGTAACATATCTAGATAAAAAGCACAAACTATGTAAGTTAAGGAAGCGCATATTCATTGAACGATTTAAAACGTTTCGTAAATTACTATTTTATATAGTTCAAGTCATGATTCAACTCTTACTGCCAATTATGTTTCTGATTTTTTGGAATATTTTATTCCGTCTAATTGCCCTACGTTCACGTTTGCTTCTCCTAGCTTAATAAACAAATTTTAATCAGTTTTAGAGTTATCTGTTCCTTTTTGAAATTGTAATTATATTGATGCGGGAATTCTGTACTCAGAAATTTTAATAAACTAACTCCTAAACTTGTATACAGGTTAAACTATTTCAGTCAGGGAGATGTGCAGCAAAATTTATTAGGCTAAATTCAAAGGTCTGAAACATATGTATTTCAAAATCACAAAATACGTGACGCTGTCGAAATTGAAAACTGCAAAGTTGAGAGGGAAGAAAAAAAGAATGAAGAAAGCGTGAGTGAAAAGGATTTGGTAGAGAAGGGAGTTTGGAGTGTACATAGCCTCGGGCACAAGTTTTGGCTTTGTAAACTACAAAGTGGTGCATGCAAGGGAAAATTCCTACAAATAAGTGCAAATTATATGAAAACATACTCTGTCTGACCTTGGCAAATAAATGCGGCTTTCTGTGCCTAATAAACTTAATAATGTTTGCTTTTTGACAGCATTTTGGCTCATCGAAGGCAGACTTGTATTAAAATATATTTTAAATGGAACAATGAATCGCTTCTGAACCTGCCAAATGCCTTGATAATTATATATCCTTGCATTAAAAACACACATCTTTTCATTCATGGCAAAAAATAGGTACAATTCAAATAAAATGAAATATAATGCTTTCTTATAAGTTACGAATTTCGACAAACCTTACCTCTTTTAGGCATAATTTATAAATATTTTTCACAAGGAAATAGGTTTGTTCAGAAACAAAGCTAACTGGGACACTCGACCTTATTTACATTCTTCGAGTGAAATAATATTCAAGAAGCTCTAAAATTCTTTGTACTTCTATTTATAAATAATTCACAATTTCAACATGAAGTTATTTGGATTGCTTGCTCAAATTTATAATTTTTTATAATATATATTACAATATAATATTTTATTATTATAATATATTATAAGAACACATCATACATCTTAAATAAATACATTGGAAGGCTGTGTATTACTCTTCATATACTGAAGATGAATTACTCATTTTGATTGACAAGTATCTTCAAAATTTCTGCCTAGTATGAGATCTTTCAACAAATTTTCTTTTAAAAAGTGCTGGACTACCAATCTTTACTATTTATATGTTAATTTTTTTCCATCATTTAAAGGTCCCGCGTTTTGATAATAATTAAAACAGAACTTACTGAAATTGAATACTGTGCAAACGTGTTTCCTGGTTATAATCAATAGTAAAACAATTAATTTTTCTAATTTGGATACGTTCATTTCAAGTTCATAATCATTAGTTTTCCACAATATTTACCTAACGGAAACAAAATCAAATTTGAATTCAAATTTTTCTATAGGAAAAAGGCTCATTCAATATTGAAGTATCCTACATATTTCCGGCATATTTCTTGAGTAGAGCTAAAGCCTTTTCAATACTCGCAGTACAAAGAATTTTAAATTCTGTAGATTTAGTGCGTTTAGTGGGTGTTTAGTGCAACTCTGAACAATTAGATGTGTGATTATCATACTTGAAAACGAGGTGAACTTAGTTTAATATTATTTGGAATCGATATATAAAGCTTATTTATTTGCACTGTCATAACATAGTAAGATCTCTTTTCATATTTAAAATCAATAAAAAATGGTATAAGACATTATGTTGGAAGGGTGTGCATTGATATCTTAGAAATTAGGCAATGAAGCCAAAATATCATGAACCTAATTTTAACTGACTTCGGAATCAATGAAATTGTCCATTTTCTGAAAATTTTTATGTTTAATGTCGTATTGATCAGTATTCGTCATATGTCTTCAGACTTACTAGGTGAGTTTATTTTTGCAAAATTTAAGGTTTCACGATCTGTGTTCTGCTCGCTTTCTCACGTCTTTTCTTTAAAGTCCGTGTAAAGTAAATGTGCTAATATAATCTTATTCGGCAACAAGTCAGTAACACCGCAGAACAATTAAAATGTAAGATGATTTTTCTTTTCTTGAGTTAGAAAAGTATCGAACTATTTTTTCATTTTTTTTGCCTTGATGTTAATAATAGGTAGCAAATAAGAACCTAAATCATGAGTGTCGGAATCCGTGAATAGGTTGAAATTAGCCTCACAAGAATCGATGAGAGTGTTAGATATAGGCTGTGAATCTACCATAAGTAGGTTGTTACTTAATATGTACTCTGGAAGTCCAATCCCAGATGTCCGTCCTTAGTTGAGCGAGTTCGATTTCGATATCCAGAGTACGATGACTATCTGGCATAAGTGAGTGGTCCTGCCATAGTATATCAAGGTATTTCTCTTCATTTACTTTTAAGTGTCACCAATCTTTGTTAGCTTAGGCTTTAAAAGTGAGAGAAAAAGTCTTCCAGATTTTCCGACGGTGGTTCTGCAATGTAAATGCAGGTCTTTCTTAGCAACTAGGCTTATAATCAATATTAATGGATTTTAAACCATATATTTCAATAACCTTTTCTTTAGTTTGCCGAAGTGCTGGAAATTTTATTCCTTAAACTCGTGTTTCGAATTTTCAAAATTATAGGAGAATATCTTAAGGAAAAATTAGATTTTCTGCCTAACCGTATTTCTGGAAAAGTATGTACCAATAATAAAGTAGAAAATGGATGGGATCTCAAGAGATTCAATCAAAACTGTGTATAATCTTGCCATGTGAACTGGCCTAACATCTTTTCAAATGAGCTATTTTTTCCAAGAACATGCACCAGTATTTAATAATTTCTAATACTAAGCTTTAGTAAATTAGCATTACTATCATGTTATTATCAGGTCACTAATAAAATAACTTTACAGATCTAATTATAATATTTGCTTAATATACATTAAAAATTAATTTTAGCCGTACTGCCTTGGACATTATTAGAAATAAATCGTACATAATTATTGGGAATTAAAAGCGAACATTTAATAAATCTAAGCTGGTAATGAAAAACGAAATGCTGTTTACAGCACTCACCTGTGTAAACATGGAATTCTTTCCTTTGAACAAAATATTTAATTCGATTAAAATAAATCATGGTTTACATCAAAAATACTTTCCTTTTAAATTACCTACTACTTTTCACATTTTAGTAGCGTTATATTAATATTGTAAGTTTGTTGTTAATGCATTCAGTCAAGCATTTTTCTCTTCAGTTCCATCAACCAATGCAAAGCATACAGGAAGGAAATACCATAAAAATACAAGTATCTCGATAAAATGAGGTGCCTACGGATCCTTGCCATCAGTTATCTTCTTTTGTTAGCGCGGAGTGCTTTTAGTCTCAAAGGACGTAAGTTAAATCATTCTCGTCAGTAAATCAATTGGATTAATTAGTCCCAATTAAGCTTAGTTATCTCATCACAGAACTATGATTCTTCTGGAAATGACAAGATAAAATGGTCTTTTCTGAATGAGAAGACCAAATTTTTGATATTATGGACTTAGTTTCAGTGAATGAGTGGAAATTCTCAATGACTGCCTTAAGGAATACTATTCTTTTTAAATATATTTTACAGAGAAATACTGAACCAAGAGTAAAAGCTTGTGGTTTTAACTTTTAAACGCTATACAACCACGGTTTTAATTTTTAAAATAAAAACAAATGACTTTAATATTAAGCAATGCATTTTAGGTTAAAACGAAACATAATTAATTCGTTTAATCAAGTAAAAAATAACGGGATTTATTACTGTGTTAAATGAGTGAAAATGCGTGCAATCACATTGACAGAACTACGATAAATTACTTAGGTAGCAGTTTTAAAATGTTAAATTTATTAAATTGTTTACTTTGAAAAGTATCAACAAATTTATTTGTCGGGAGTATCTTTAATTTACTTCATTAAATTAACATTACGATAAATATTGATATATTGAAGTAATAACGAGATATTTGAAATTTACTGTTACATTGAATTTATTAATATGCTGAACCTCAAGTTTCAAAACACAATATCCACAAAATTCATCGAAGAATTACTTTCAACAACAAATATTTAGTTTTCCATTATACTAATATTTACAAATTTAAAAAACAGTATATATCACTTGCTTATTTTATGAAATAAATGAAAAATTACACAAATAAATAACTGGCCAGTTATAGCGTCTTACCCAACTGCACTTCCATTGGTCAACAAAATCCGAGTCGTCCACATGATTGGCTAATGAACCACTCACCTAATGTCTGATGTAGGCGTTCATTTAGAGGGTGTACAAATAAAACATCAAGAACTGTTCTCAATATATTAGTATAACTTATGATTTCAAATCCATCGAATCCTCGATTAAACATAGCCTGTGTCGCCAGGCAGCCACAATGAATTCTCGCCATTTTGGATCCGTCATTGCATTTCTAATTATGGTTGTTACTGTGGATATATTTGTGGAATTATTGCCGATCTCAAATGCTCAGCCTTGGTTTAATGTGCAAATAATTCAGGAATATTTAAATTTAACCGGTAAGATAAAAATATCAAACGCGTAAAGTACGTTTAAACTTGTTCAATTATTTAATGGGCAGAGCAAAATTCTGAGAAAGGGAAAAGACCTGCGTTAGATGCGAAATTAGATATGCCCAGTTGTACATGATCAGCAGAATAAAATAAACCACCTAATTAAAATAACTTTTATTAATTTATTATATGCGCATTACATATCTTCTTTTTGCAAATTGTTTCCAAGGACGATTATCGTTGGCTTCAAGTATTCTTGTGCTTTTCTTCTGATAATCTTTGATTTGCAATATACATCATGTTCGAAGCGGTTACATCGATTATATGAATTGGAATGAAAGTTGGCTTTACTTCAATTTCGAAGATAGCTTATAAAATCTTCCTGTTAATTTAACTTTGACAGGGGATTGTTTACTTAAAATTAAATTAATTTGTAATTTTCGAAATTTGCATTTTATTTTTGTTTTCTCCTGACCCTTATGAAAATATTAAAACTGTTAACATTTTTGTCTTTAATGGATTTTAAATTAATAGAAAGCGACCTACGCTGTGTTTAAATAAAATTACGAAAAAATACAGAATTCTAGCTAATTAAAGGAGAAAATTAGCTAATATAATTTGATATGTAAGAGTCGCTATTTAATTATTGAGCGTGCATTCTTATCAATTATTTCATTTTGTTTGTCCCGAGATTAATACATCTGTTTCATATTAATCTACTACGAAATAAATTAATAAATACTATGAAATATTCACGTCACTATTGGCATATTTACACTTCACATCTTACTTGTAAACTACAGAGCTCTCGGCGTAACCTTTATAAATAATTTTCTTTTTGGCAAGTAACTGGCTTCTTTTACTCTCTTTTGATCCTCTATTGGTCTCTGCACATATTGATGAAGACAAAAATATATCCACTGAACAATGTCTTCTCCGTTGAGTAGCCACGAATAAAAGCCTTTACAAGGAAGCCAAATAATTCATGTATCTTTTAAGGCATTGCTGTTTCAAGTAAAAGTTACCATCTGAGAATAATGACCCAATTTTCATCTATAGAGCCAGCCAGAATAATTGAAGGTCCACAAGACACAAAAGCCATCTATGGTGAGGATGTAATCCTCTTCTGTCGAGCTACTGGCAACCCAGAACCCCAAATCACGTTTCTTTGGAATTCTCGCGAAATCAGTCCTACAACAAGTGATGGTAATGGCATCGGTCTCAGTGGACTAATAGTTCGAACAATGACAAAAGGAAATGGACTTACGTTGCGTGCAAAATTGCAAATGTCCAATAATGGCGATAATGTGACTTGTAGAGTCTTCAATCAATTCGGAACAGACTCAGCAAAGGCTAGAATCACTGTCTACGACGCAAATGAGCGTAAGAATTTCTGTCATTATAGTACTATCTTGAATAGATATTATATTTATTATAATGTTTTCGGAAAGGCATATTTTCTACTGCTTCCTGTTTTCGCAACGAGAACTAGATTTCCTATTTTGTTGTTCAAATGGAAATCTACTTTAGTAACTTTTCGGTCTTCCCGAGGGTAACAATTCTCACCTATCTATGAATGGATAATAGCAGCAGCAGCTAAAAGTTTGGAAGACACGCAATAACTAAAATAAATGAGGCATAGAGAATGGTGATTTTCGTGGAAAGTCCCATAATTGCTGCCAATCAATTAAGAGATTTCGATAACACTGTCAAACTTTTGACGACTCTTCTCATTTTCTGTCAAATTAGCGACCTTATATTTATTCAGAGAGCTGGTTGCCAAGTGAATAATTGTAACACCATCGTGATTGGATCTTTCTACTAATATAATTAATTTCTTATCTGCAGTCACCATCAAATTAGGGTCCAAATTGTGTCGCTCAGGCACCGTATGGATAAAATTGAAATAAATAAATAGCAAAAGTAATAAGCTATTCTAATAATTGTTGAAAACTTTAAAAATCCGGCGAACTCTCATTCTAAAATATATTTACCCCAAGAGTATTAGTTTTATGGATCATTACAAAATATCTAAAGTATTGAGCACTCAAAAAGACTGTAAACAACAACATTTTGATGGTCTGATGTCTATCCATTGGATGGGTCAAGATCCATGTAGGGTATATTAATCGTATTATATCGCATCTGGTTTAAGCACATAGGTGGTGTAAGGTCCTTGGACAGATGATCTTATGGAGACTAAACAAGCTAACTCTGTGAATTTGTCAAAATTTCGGAATCAAAGCACCTAAATTGAGACCCGGTTGAGAAAAGGATATCTGCAATCGAAAATTTTAGGACTATATTTATAATTTATATATATGTATCTTTTACTTGTTTTGCTTTAAGATATTGGAAACACTTGTTCTGAGCTCGAGGCATCGGAGGTTATTCGGCTAAACCATGCAATGGAGAAAAAAATGTGGACGATTAGTCACAATTGATATTTGATTTGCTATTGCCTCTAATTTACTAATAGCAGTCCCCCCTCCCGACCCTCAAATGGCCATATCTCTGCTGTGATTCATGTCACTGATCATTGAAGTTGTGGTCTGCGCGACTCCTCTTCAGCTTGTCTGTTAAGTAAACAATGAACGCCCACGTTTCATTTAATTCTAATAGCATTCAATAAGTACCTTGAGTATTCATGATGAGGAAGATTGTCGCTAAGTAACAAAAATACGGAATTAAGTATCCTTTATAATTTTCAATTAACATACAACATTCTGATGACTCACATGATAACTTGTTCGTTTACTTTGCGTTCTTATTTAACTCCGTCGTATTTCATAATTCATCAAAAACCTTCTCTATCATCGCAGCACCTCCAAAAGGTCTACCGAAGATAACAGAAAATCCGACAACCACAATTGGTCAGGTTGGGGATTCTACCCACCTCCAGTGCGAAGTTTCAGCCACACCCTCTGCATCAGTGGTTTGGATAAAAGACAATTTCTTCCCCATTGATCTCTCTGACCCCAGATATCGATTGATTGGTAAGATAAATGGTATTTACTCTTTGAATAGATCGTGATGTAATTTCTTAGAGCCGTTGGTTTGATATTTATAAGTTTTCTCTGTAAATCTAAAGCCACATTAACACCGGTAGAAACGCATTTTTGTTCCATCATCATCTTGTCAATCTCTACTGCCTAGAAATCGTCATTTTTATTGAAATAACGTTCTAGTAGGAAATATTTTAATGTAAATCTCAATGCATTCTCTTTTGATGAAATTTGACATATAGGTACCAAAATTTCAGTTTAAACTTTGATAATAAACAGCAAAACAGTAAAGCAAAACTTGGTTGTTGCGTATGATATTGAATTTTTTTCGTTATTGCCAACTCATACTGAATTAGAATGAATTACCGAAGGCGTATCTAGTAGATTCTTTTATTTTGTAAATGCTAAAATATTGACAGTTTTCTGCTAATTGAACTGTTATAAAATGGTAAAGTAAGTCTGACAGAAAAAATTGATACATTTTTCTGCTCTTCTCAAAAGGATGTTGGAAGTCCCTCTTGTAAAATTTCAAGAAAAATGCCTTTTTTGAGTATAATTTGATTTTAATGATTTATTAATTATTTTAACCCTCAGGAAGCGGATCATTGGTTATTGAGTCCTTGCTGGAAGAAGACTCGGGTGTTTACGAATGCATGGCTAGGAATATAATTGGAACAACAATTAGCAACGCGTGTCATCTCAACGTACGCCGTAAGTCCACTCTTCTTGCTTGGGATGTAATGCTGATGTTAATTGCTTTGTTGTCAACTTAATCTTAATATTCTATTAATTTCAAACAAATATCGGCATATACTGCCTATAAGTGCAAGTCGAATTATACATATTATACTTGCTTAGATTCAAAATTATCATTAGATAGTTTCACTTTATAATTTATTAAAATAATGGCAATTGATCTATTTCAGATTTCATATATATTAAACAAAAGAAGCCTTCCGTAGTTAGAACTTGAATCATCAAGTTTTATTATGAAAAATATATTAAAGCGAATTTTTAAAAAAATTAAACTGTCTTGTTGCCTTGCATTTACGATGTCTATTTTGTGGTAGGTATATGTGAATTTCCCGACAAGTGGCTTTCGTGTCATTCATTCATAAATCCCCGCAAACTACTAATCACCAAAAATATTGTTATTATTTTTCGCTGAAATAACCCCCTGGATAAGAAATAGTAAGGAGCTTTCGAGAATTAGGTATATTTTATTTTTATCAAACAAATGACAGGCGAAATTCAAGGTGTAGCACAAAGTCCTTAAATCATTCATGCAGTTCCACTCATCAATGTCAGTCAAAGTTTGCTTGGAAGTGTTACATAACTTTGATAGTCTTATAGAGAGAGAGAAAGTGTATTAAATAAGCAATCTGAAAAATCTTTGCTTGACAAACATTTTTTTATTTTATTTTACATTTGAGTAGATAAAGTCCTTGAACTTATTGAAACCATTAAAATATAAACCTAGTAATTAAAACGAAATTCCTGTGCAGCACTTCAAGTGACAAAGTATATTTGTTATCAGCCTCATAGAAGTATAATACAATGATTGAAGTAAACGCTAACAGTTAAGACATTATTTCTGCCGAATTTTTAAACCCTCGCTTAAACAGAATTGTGCGCCACCTATAGGGAAGTTTATAGGTTTTAAATGTGCCAGTTTGGAAATTATACTAAAATTAAGAAATTATAGGTCAATAGGTCACAATTATGCATTACAGCCTAAACTCTTCCTTCTCAATATACGAGAATTCATTTGTCTTCTACTTATTGTTTGAAAAAATAATTGGCATAAGTGGAATATTCTAAAGTTTCTTGCCCAAGTATCCGATATAATATGATTTGTTCAAACCCTCACAAACAGTAATGTACTTATAAAATGTGGGGTATCGTATGTGGAAAAATAATTAATATTTGACTTGAAGCATAAACCACATTAATATAGTTAATTGAAATGAAGGTGAAATTCTCTATTCTGCAGCTCAGTATAATGTATGATTTTTTAGTACTTTCAAATTGAAATAAAATAATTTAGTTCTAGACCATTTTTTAAAGTTTTAAACGTCAAAATTCACTGAATAATAGGACTCAATACTTCAAATCACTCTTGTGGCAAAATGCAAGTAAGAAACTGTTCAAAGACGAGCGTATTTAAGTAGCTTTTAAATCCATCAAAGTGAACAAAAATTGAAGTTTTCAATAACATTTTTAGGGTAAGCGTCTTTTTTGAATTGATTTTTCAAATTCGAGCAATTATGTCAGTATTCGTTTATAGATCATTATTGGGAAACAATAAAACTAATTCCAATTTTTTCAACTAAAATATCTAAAACGTATATGTAAGGATATTATGCCGAAACGAAAAATAATTTCGAAATGGCAATATTTTTTTATCGTGGGTAAACATGCGAACTGTCAGAGGGTCCACATTTCACATCTCCTATTATTTTGGTCAACTTTTCACTACTGACAGTTATCCGAGATAACCATCCTTTTCACCCAAACACCACTAAGCGAGGAAATCGAGCAACTTTCAATATACCTAAAATTATTCTAACTAATTTGCTTTTTATAGAGAACCTTACGCTGCTCTTTCATTACTTAGAAGAACAGGGCAAGTGATTATGATCGTTAAGATGAATTTTTTAGCCCTTCGCCTCTTATCTGCATGTGCTTGCCTTCATATACACTTCTTCCGTGCAATTATGCTTTAGCAAAATTTCCCACATTCCCATGCAGGAAGGTCTTGGTAATTCGACTTCTCTTATTATGATGTGTTCATATCTAAATGCCTCCTCTATCTTTTAAGTATATATGGGGATACAGCATAAAGAAGTCTGTTTATAAGTCTGTTCAGGAGAAAGTATATTTGCACAAACTGGGGATACGCTGTATCTCTACAAGCTAAGAATTGAATGCGAACAAATAATCTATAACTTTAAAATTCAATTGCATTTACCAATTTTTGAGGAATGTTTGTTATTCTGGTATGGTCCTATACCTTGTTTTACATTTTCCAGTAAAAAAGTGGATTAATAGCATATTCTACATAAAACTTCATCCACAACATCGCCAATAATTTGCAGTGTGAACCCCTTGAAAAGACCCTTCTGAGAAAATATTGGTGGAAAAACGAAACCCTTTCCTCTGCGACAAATATGTAAAGAAATCAAAATATACGGGCCAAGTCTTCCTAACCTTCTTGAACTTACAAATTATTTGTTGTGGACCTGCTTGTATGAGCTGGATAACGTATACTACATTAAAAAATCAGATGTGTTATTTAATTTCGATTTCAAATTCAGCTCGATGATCTAGTTTGAATCGTATTCACAGAATGGACTGTAATTTATATATAAATATATAAATATATATATATATATAGCAAACCTCAAATATTCTCACAAGTCTTATGCAAAAATTCATTTCTATCTGAACACAGGTATACTGTATCCTCAAAGGAAGTAGAGGGCAGTCAAAATAGAATCTTGATTCTACATAATTTGTATTCCATATTGGGTCTTTAGAGCTGTTAGAGCTTATCAGTCAGTATCTTTACGTCTCTATCATAGGCGAGCCGCTCAAGCGGTCTTGCCCAACATCTTGGGTTCTTAGCGTGAGGTGCTGATTTCGATAACTTTCCCCTCAAATGACTTGAAATTTGTAACAAACAAGAGTAATTTTGGTTAAAAATGTCAGACTTTGCCCTATTGTCATTTGAACAAAACAATTTGTTTGAGTACATCAGCTCAATAATTTCATTATTCCATACCATTATTTTGCTGTTCATCAATATTTCCGACGCAAAATATACAGATTGTCCCAAATAATTGAGGAGATAATTAATTGCACATATGGGCGAATAGCAGGCACAGTAAAGAGGGAAAATTTCGAACAGTAATGGCTAATGACTGAAGAATACCTGTCTACTGCTTGGTGATATGATAATATGAGAATTGTTTTTGACTTTAATTGACGCCAGGGAAAATACCATTAGTAGGAGGATTCACTTAATGGACATTGCATATGGCGTACATAATCGACAAGACAAATGATGGAAGGCTATTAGAGCCTACTGGTAGTTTCATTAATATCGGAGCAATTTCTCCCACCAGGTGAGTTTTCGTACCAACATCCTTATCCTTTATTCTTCGCTACTCCCATCGCGAATGAGCTGGAATGGCAGCTTGCATGAACTTTATGTTTTAGCTTCACTCTAATGACTTGGAAATTATTTGTGATTAACTTTGGTGTCTATTCCTGCCGTAGGTATTGAATTTCCTCCAACAATTAAAGAAATTCCTTCCCAAGTATTTGTCTCGCCTGGAAAGGGAATAAATCTAACCTGTAAAGCAAGTGGATTCCCTCTTCCCATGGTCTGGTGGGCCATAGCAGGGTCTGCACCTATTGTGCCTCCAGATTCAAGCAAGGTGGGCTTTCTACCAAGCAGTCCCATTCATTACTATGCGGAGAGAGCACTTACGGAACCCCAACCTCAACAGGCCACTCTAAGGCTGACCGATATCACCGACCAATTGACGTATGTTTGTGTTGCAAAGAACAATCTTGGAATTGTGAGAAGAAATGTCAGTGTTATTGTCAAACGTAAGTTCTGCTATCTATGCATTGTTTCAGAAATGCAGATTTTTGTCTTATGTAGGTCAAAGACACATATTTGTCAGTTTATCCTCAGCTTACACTTCAATTCTACCGCATTTTAATTCCAGTTGTTTTAGCATAATTGACGAAAGCTGAGAAAATGAATTACTTTTAATTACCAACATTTGGAACCTGCCTTTGGAAACAGAAAGGCATCAGATAGATTTTTGTTGGCTTCATTATATTTTTGAGTGTATTAACAAGTTCAAAATAATTAATAAAACAACGATGGCTTTCACTAAGTCGGCGAAATTGATGAATAAGTGGAATCAGAAAACAAGGAGACCGATGGGAAGTATGGAATGTGTCTGATGGAACCGAACGTTGATTGGATAGATAACAAAGCTATATACACCAAATGTACTCTATTTCGGTTTAGACGTGATACCACACAATAATCTAATGTTATATTGTCGTGCAATAGTAAATAACCGATTAGAAAGACATATGAAGCCGGTTGGATGACAGGGAAGGGAACAGTGACTCTAGATTTTCATTTTATTGATCTACCGAGAGATGTCCGCTTTATCAAATTCAAAGCCAGATAAATTCTCTGAACGTCTTCAAGAAGAGTTTGCGAACACAAAAGTGAAAATGCAAATACAAATTGATTAAAATTATGGCAACCAGCTAGTGTTGGCTAATTTAAATAATCATGTTATGATAAGAACAGTAATTTCGATGTTTTTCTCTCAATATTCGTAATTTGACTGCTTCTTGATAATCGCCTTATATTTCTTCTCTCTGCGCAGGAAAAGATAAGATTTGACATCTTTTTATCGTAGAAGGAAGCGACAGATCCAATTAATTGATCACATGAATTTGCTTAATCTTTTTTTGGTTATATTGACTAATTTAAACCACAGTTAAAAGTGCAGGTCGGCTGGAAGACTTACACTTTTCTGAGTTCAAATTTTGAGCAGTAGGGTGAGTTTAAAACGCAATGATTTTTATAACTTGATCTAATCCTCCCTTGTGATTCATTATTTGCTTTCTGAGCTTATTTCATCCTTTGGTTAGACAATTTTTCTGATCAACAGTGTTTTGATATTATGAGATCAAATACCAACGAATTTTCGAATAGCGCACTTTTTCTGCAACGGAGAAATGTTTTATTTATCCTGTATGAGGTCAGATATGTCCCTTCTACTATTTACACTATTTCATAAATATTGTTTTAGAGGAAGTATTTTGATATTAAGATATTTTAATATATCAATCTCTAATCATTTTTTATTAACATATGAGCCAAGAAACTAGAAGACTGATGAATATTTTAACAACAGGGTGGTCTTTAAATTTATTTATTTATTTATTGGAATGTTCCTTAAAAAATTATCCGAAATGCGAAAAGCTAAATCGAATTCAATAATGGTTTGCTTTGAACATGTCCCCTCTCAGGAACAATGGTATTCGGTTTTTCATTTTATTTAAATTTATTTAAGTAGAGTCAACGTGTATCAACTCAAATATAACATGGTACAGCGTCCAACACACTAATCAAAAGATCACTTGACCATGATAATAATTAATCAGTTAATTGAAAAGAGATTCAGGAAACGTTTTCTCATTTATTTTCAGGGAAATATTTGTTCTGTGAATGTGTTTCCCTCCCATGTGTCTGAAAATTATTAGTTTATTTAAGAGTGACTAACTTAAGTCAATGCCTTAATTTGATTCGTTTAGTTTGTTTTGCCTTTATAATGTAATCAAAATCATTAAATGAAATCCTAATTTGCTCCTCTTAATTCCACCTACCTACCACAAACGACTCTAATTTTAGTAAAGGAAGATGCTTATTAAGAAGTCACTAGAGCATGTATTTACTTAGCACCACAATTTCTTAATGAAATAACGGAAGTGAGTAAATTCGATGCGATTTGCTTTAGCCGTTTTGCCCACAATTAAGCGTGCGCATCGCACTATGATGACTGGGTACAGGAACGTTGACACCAAAATATGATTATATTTTGACTAGTTAGGTATGACTCTAATTGCCATTAATCACCACCGCCAGAAACTATCTGTGTTCTCGGGAGCCTTTCACGTCGGGTGTTTGAAAAGGAAAGTCGGTCGATAATGAAATTATCCGAAGAATATTACTACAATCAGCTGGCTCACTGCTAACAAATAATTGCTTATATGATTAACTCAACTAGTTAAACACCATGGAGCGACTTGAAATACGCCCTGTAATCACCACGATGATAATGCAGTGACGAGGTTTTAACAGCCCAGTTTAAGATACCCAGTATCTCATGTACTGTTTACTCTTGTTATGCTGCCATTAACTTTAATGAACCCGGTGCTCTATTTTATTGTAACCCATTTTATATTTCAATATCGCTCTTTCACTTGATGACAGCAATATCTGCTAGGTACCATAGTCTTTTTCGGGCGACAATTCAAGTTTCATGGAGTGCCTTTCGAAAAGATCACTGCAGTTCGAAGGGAATAAACAAGGTGTCTGCTAATAATAGTTCAACTTTATGGACCAACAGACTCAAACCATAACTGAAAGAGAATTTCCCAAAATAAACTCATAAATGAGCCGCTGCAAGTTCAGTATGATATTTAATCAACTTACAAATGCGCAGTTAGATTAAAGAGAATTATAACTATATATCTCTGAATCGGATGTTCATATAGTGCTTCTGATTGAGTGTATTGAGTGTCAGCAGAAGTTTATATGATTTCTCAAAATTTTGAATAAAAGCATAGTCAGTTGATCAAAATAGAGTCAAGAGTGTATTTTTTTGCTTTGATTCATTTAATCATATTTTAACCAACCATAGGCAATATCTTGCTGGTATAGTTGCTGATCTCTCAAAATACCTTGGTAATTGACACATTAGTGCCATTTAGAATTAAAATATATGAAAATTCTCTCATTTCTTTAATGAAATCGTGTATTTTTCACTTCGAATGTGCATGCATTTATATGTTCAATTAAAAAAAGTGGTTGTGTTTTAATCTGTAAATTCGAGCTGTTGTTTGCAGTTAATGCTTCCCATTTACGCGAAGTGCTAACACACTTGCGACCAAAGAAGAAACTGGAGTTAGAGCCATTGTGTCTAGACTTATCCACTCTTTATCTAAATCTACCTTGGAAAATTTGAATTTTTATCATTGCAGACTGGGTACCCATGATCGCTATAAATGGTAAAGTTGTAAGAAAATATTAAGGCAAGTCCAAGATCACTGAAGATAATGGTTTACCAACATATATCTTGGACCTGGAAATCACATTTTGAAATCTCTTTATTGTGGAACTCGCATTCAGAGACCCCTATTTAATCACTCTGGTTGGTTGCCTACGCTGTTCACTCAATGTGTCGTTGGGCACGAAGCAATGCTATTTGACCTTTGCGGACGTAAAACCAACACAGAGTCGTTTTAAATTCCATTTAAAGCAAAATATGGTGCGCTAGTAACATAAAATCACTATTGATCTGTCCCGTTAATCCGTAATGGCATGTGGTTGACAATTCTAATGCCATTTGCACTAAATGGTATAATTTCTACTGTCACGTAATTTAACTTTCCCAAGCGAATTTTAAACGAATATGATTTATAACACTCAATCTCTCAAAATAAAAGTAATTTTACACGACAATATGTTCATTATTATCACCAATATATCCTCGTAAACTTAATATCAATATCAGGCTAAAATGGTAACTAATGGGCAATAATTATTGACAACAGTATGTTCAGTTCTTATTTTAATTTTTGTAAAGACCAAATAATTGGTGAAATTTAGTGAAATGGCGCATTAACTTTAATTTTCGAATGATCTTAAGTTATTTAAATTTGGAAATAAAATGAACACTGTGGTGAACCCTGGGCAACGTATATTCATACGGCAAAAAAGTCCATTAACTGGCATTTGACTTCTCACTTCAAACTACCATCACCCCACTGTATGCCATATTCGACTACTTCCGCAGTACTCACCTCACCATTTTTCTACTTTTATCTCTGTCTCTTACATCATTTTTGAAATACTCTTCTGTTCCCCCCTCTCAACTTTTTTTCATTTTGATGTTCCTCCCCTCCGTGAAGCCTGAAGTCAATTAAAGGGCTAATGATAACTATCAAAACGCCTGCCATTTGTTACAATACTTTAATTTTTGAATGATCTTAAGTTATTTGAAGTTGGAAATGAAATGAATACTGTTCTCACTTATCGGGTTCTTCCATAATAAAATTTCTTAATAAAAGTAAAAAAGAAACATTCATTTTCTTCTGAAAATTAACGAAATTCCTGGCATATATTTCAAAGATATAAAATGGCCTTAAAGTTGTCCATAGAAATAGGAATTTATAAAAAAACAACTATATTTCAGACATTATTAAAAAAATTTCCAACCTTAAATGAAAGACATTACCGTTATAAGGAGTGCATTTGCAAAATGCAAGAGCCAAAATTCACTACTTTAAGGTACTGCTGTCACAGTAAATTAGAGAAA